CCTAATTTCTTTTCCATCTATTCAGGTTAAGCTCAAAGGTTTGCAGAGATCTACTCAATTCATCAAGTTGCATTTCATCAAGGTTGCAGCATTCTTCAATAGAGATTGCTTTGGACATAAATCTTTGAGGTAAGGAGCACAACACCTTCCTAATAAGTTTAGCATCAAAAAAGATTTTTCCTAAAGCAAAACACTCATTAATCTGCTATGAAAATCAGTAATGGTTTTATTGTCATGCATAACAAGATTGTCATAATCAATGATTAATCTTCTTAGTTTGGTCTTTTTCACAATATCAGTTCCATGATTTTTAATTTGGAGTCTATCCCATGCATCTTTAGCTGTTTCACAATTTGCAATGTTTTTCATTTGTCCTATAGTAACAACATTAAAAATGGCATGAAGTGCTTTAGAGTTAAAATCACACGCTTCTAACTGTTCCTTGCTCCATTTATCAAGGGACTTTCCTTGACTCCCACTTGCTTCATTAGTTTCACGTTCTTGTCAACCAACCAAACATGCATGCCAAGCCCTCTCATCAATAGATTTTAGGAAGGCACACATCCTAGGCTTCCAAAACGTATAGTTGCTTCCCTCTAACATAGGTGGTCTAGTGATAGATTCTCCTTCACCAAAAGAACCCATGATGAACAACCTGTCAGTGTGATCACACAAGATTGTGGTGGTCACTGTTAGACCGATCGTAAAAATTAAACCTAAATACCGTAGTAGCGGTAAGCAGGATCGAATCCACAGGGAGCAAGACTAACAACCTAATGTATTTTAAGTAGTGAAAATGAAATTGGCAATGGATTAATGAAACTAAATAGACTAAATGCAAATAATGAAATAGTGCCAATTAAAACTAATAAAAACTTTATAATAAAATATTGCCGTTACGGTTTTGGTTCGACACGAGACCGACTCACACAATTCTCCTCCCACCTCTACGATCCCCTAAACCTACAAGGCAAGGTAAATCAATGAAATGGCCTCCCGGCACTCTAGGTATAATCTATCCTGTCTCATTCGATCACTCAAGTTCGATTGGTTAAAGACTATCATTAACGCCGAAAAACGCTAAAAGGCAATACCTTGGTACGCGATTAACAAATACAATTGTCAACACGTAAAATCCAATCAACCAACTTCACAATAAACGCAACAATGTAAAAATTAAATTAAATCCGAACACAACTCAATTACAATCGATGCGAAGTAATGAAAGCAATATCATCATTTAATTATTTCAAACCAACGTTTATCATTCAGCAAGTTCTATGAAAACATTAAATCATAATGGACAACAATATTCATCACAAATTATGTTCAAATCATATAAAGTATCGAAATCAAACATGAAACGAAAACAAATATATATGAAGCACAATACTACCAAATGTCCTATAATCGGGCTCATCCAACTAGTCGAGAGCTGATGAGGAGAGTCGTGGAGTCAATCCCGATCTCGCTATGCCGTAACAGACAACCGGGAGCTTAGCCGCTCATGATGGTGATGACGGAGGCCGAAACGGTGGAAACGGAGCTGACCATGGCAGAGAGGAGGTGACCGACACGATATAATGCGAAGAAGGGGCGAAAATGACCAACGGACAGCCCGGAATACAAACAGTCGTGGTTCGCCAGAAAACGTTAATTTTCCGGCGGGGCCTCCGGAAAACGGTGGCTGAAATGGGATCCGAAGGTACCGATGGAAAGCTCTGGTGATGGGAGTTTAGATCAGGTCCTGGGGAGGTGAGAAGTCGCCGGAAATGAGCAGGATGGCCTGAAAGATGAAGAGTCGCAGTAGCAAATCACGGATTCCGGCGGCTGAAGCAAGGGAAGTGTAGATCCGGCCGTGGGGAATGAAGATCTACCCTTGGGAGCTGGAACGTCGTCGGAAAACGGCTAAAACTGGCGGGAAGACGAAACGACGCGGTGGAAGATGAAACGCCGTGGTGGTGCTTGGCTCACGGTGGTGATGAAGGGATGATGGTGATCTGTGGTCGAGGAAGCCGAAGAGTCGCCGGAAATGGAAGACGAAGGTCGCGGTGGTGGAAGATGAAGGGTCGCTGGAAAACGTATGGATGGCCGCCTCCCTTGGACGCGATCTACATTTTTCTTTTTATAGCACAATTGTAAAATATCAGTTTAGTCCCTGCTAATTGAAAAGTGACAAAATCAGCCCTTAAAACATGACATTTACCCCCTAAACAGCATAAATGAGACAAAATCACCCTTAATCCATAACCACAACCTAATATCAACTCATATACTTTCCAAAATCATTCCAAACACGTTAAATTCATAAGAAAATATTAGAAAGCGATTTTCGTGAATAAATTCATAAATTCTTTAATTGTCTCAATATACTTCAATTTAATCAAAATGGGGTATTTTTATCACCAAAATAGAGTCACTTTCATGACTCTAACAGTCACCTACAAAAATAGAAGACAAAAAGGAATAGAAATTATAGCAAAAAGAAACAACGCGGGGTGATCACACAATCCTCAAGGTTTCACGCAAGGTCTTGAAGCAAAAATGCCAAAAAAAAAAAAAAAAAAAAAAAAAAAAAAAAAAAAAAAAAAAAAAAAAAAAAAAAAAAAAAAAAACAACTCAACATGCAAGAATCAACTGAAATAACTTTCCAGAACAAGCTCTGATACCAATTGAAAGTTTTAAATTTACCAAGTGAATTAAAACTTAAGCGGAAATGATTGCTATGTTGATTTTAAAAGTCCATTAAACATAAACATAAGCCAAAGTAAAACACACAAGATTTTCACATGGTTTGGCAAAATGCCTACATCCATGGGACCAAGTCTAGAATGAAACTAATCCCTAGGTTTACTTTACTATTCAATTACAAAGTCAGAGATTAAGCCTCAATTGCCAAAACACCCCTGTTTTGCAATGCTTCAATCTCTACCCTTTGGTTAAATAACGTACAACCATAGTGAGCTTACAATAACACCCAACCAACACGGTCAGCCTTGAGCTTCTCTCAAGGACCAAAAATGAAGACGCACTTCAGTGGAGGAAGCTCAACACGCTTCAACATCTCATAATGAGCAGGGACGTATTTTGGGTACTTTGAAGGAGGTATTTTAAAGCTTTACCTAAGCATAGAAACTTGACAATCACAAAAGAAAAATTTAGAGAATTTTCATTGTAATTTTAAGAGAAATATCAGGCTTAAGAAAAAGTGCAATGGAGAAGAGTTTATATAGGAAAATAGTCGGCCAATGCAAGGACAGGTGGCAAAGAAAACTTTATTGAATTTCACCTTTTTAAAATTTTATTCCAATATTAAGATGCCACCTATGAAAGAGAATAAAATATTTCCAACACATTGAATATAAATTTGACAAGTGTTATGGACCACACAAATATCTCAAAAGAGAATATGACAGCTCATGCATTCTAGAAGCATAAAACGTGTTACTCAAATAAAACTACCAAATACAAGGTGATACGTTTACAAGTCCTAAAACACTTGTAAACATGAGTGGACAAGGAATTACAAGTCCTAAAACACTTGCTAATTCGGTTGAATCAAAGAGTTTCATTCCAAGTCCTAAAACACTTGGATTGTGGAATGTGGAAAGCAATGGAGGAAATTCGGCCCAAGCAAGTTCCAATGGGGGAGAGAGCCCAAGCATTTCGGCCCAAACCATTCCAAGTCCAAGCCCAACAAAGGAAGCTCAAGCCCACCAAGAGAGAAGCCCAAGTGTTGAACTGAACCCATTTGGCCCAAGTCTCATTCCAAAAGGGAAAGCCCACATGAACCCTTATTGGATTCATTTGCAAGATCTTCAAGGCCCAAACTCTTACACCCTTATTAGTAGACTTGATTAGGATCATTGATCAAGCTTTGAGCTAATAAAGTGAGTTTTTTTTAACTAATGGGGTGGTTAAAGACATGGATCCTAGAATTAGGGAATCATGTCCCTTTTGCATTAAATAGGTATGGCCTTGTTTTTGAATGAAAGACTTGTAATTATTTGTGTAATATTTATTATTTTCATTTTCTTGTATTGTATTTGTTGATTACTCTTTTAACCTTGTAATTGCCTATATAAAGGCAACTATTCTCCTTGTATTAGTTAGTTTTTGTGAAATATCAAAAATTTGGTTTAACCATTGAGAGAACTTTGTGTTCTTGTTTTGATTTCTTTATCCAAGTCTTGGCAAGGAGATTTGGTGGTGAATCAATTCAAGTTGGTGGAGAATTCCTTTATGCTTGAAGTGTTTTCTACTTGTCTTAACCCAAAATTGCAAGTAAGTGTGACATTGCTCCTCTAGTCTATTTGGCTAAATTTAAGCTTGAATTTAGGGTATATTTTGTTGTGTTTTGTTGTTGCAAATTGGTTGGAATTGGATCATTTGGTATCAGGGCTTCGGTTGTGAAGTGGAGTAGGATTGATTTAAGGTTTATTGAATGTAGTTGGCCGGAATTTTGGAGTTGACATTGCCGGATTTGGAGTGCTCTAGCTTAAGTGTTCTTTCTCTTTTGTTACAAGTGATTGAACATTTCTTTCTCTCTCATCAAACATTATTCCCCAACCAAATCCCTTACACCTTGTTCCTTTCTAACCAAATCCATTGCCACCTCACCCAAACCCTAACCAATTCCCTCCAAAGTCAACTAAACCCATTCCTTCCCAACCAAACCAACTTTAACCCTTAACCAAACCCTAAACACAATTAAATTAACCTAATCCCATCTCCATAAACACCATTCCTTAGCCTAATTACAGAATACTATTCACATAATACTATTCATAGAATACTATTCACATAACAGTATTCACAGAATACTTACACTTAAACCAAAGTCACCAAAATTCATACACTTGACCTTTCCCTCCCATTTTTCATTTTCTTTAACATTAAAAAACTTATTGTTCATCTGGAGTTACTGTTCACTATAGCTAAATTTCCCCAATTCTCATGGCAAACAAGTCCCCTTCCTCCCCAATTCCACCCCCAACACCATGGGAGAGTGCCAACAAAAAATTCAAGAAGAACTTGATGAAGTAAAAAAAAATATGTCCAGCATGATGGAATTGACGGTTAACATGTCTAAGGACATTGCCAACCTTTCACAACCCAAACCCACCTTTGAGGAAACCCCACAACCACCTCCACGGGATGGTCGTCCACACTACCACCAACGAACCATCCTTAGGACACCATTGTATGTGGAAAACCTAGGAGATAGTAATGATTCATCTAGTGAATTCGAAGTGCCTAGGAGGAGAAGGTTTGATGATGATAAGGGTCTTAAAGTAGACTTACCCGAATTCAATGGAAGTCTTGACCTAAATGACTTCATTGATTGGTTGCATGAGATTGAACGGGTATTTGAATTTAAGGGCTACAATGATGAAAAGAGATGTAAAGTAGACATATTAAAGTTTAAGGAGTATGCCTCCTTGTGGTGGGAAAATACAAGGAAGAAGAGAGAAAGAGAAGGGAAGACTAGAATTAGGTCATGGGAGAAATTGAAGAGAGTGTTGAAGAAAAGGTTCTTGCCTGATAATCACAAGCAAGACCTTTATCTGAAGCTCCATAATTTGAAGCAAGGAGATAGAAAAGTTGAAGAGTATATTCGGGAGTTTGAAGGGTTGATGTTGAGAAGTGATATTCCCGAAGAGAAAGAGCATACAATTGTAAGGTTCATTGGCGGTTTGAGTAAGGACATTGCATACAAGCTTAAGTTGCAAACTTACCATTCCTTTGAGGATGTTTGCAAGCTGTCCACAAGGATTGAAAAGCAATTGAAGAGCATGAATTCCTTGGCCCCTAAGAAACTCTTTAAGGAAAGTAACTACCAAAGGGGTTCACCTTCCTGCACCAACCCGTATATGGCACCTACGGCCTATGATAAGAACAAAGCCAATGAAACACCAAAGGAGAAAATAGGTTTTGTGAAGAATGATGCTCTACAGCCTGATTTGAAGAACAAGAAGTGTTTCAAGTGTCAAGGTTATGGACACTTCCAAGCAAATTGTCCAAACTGAAGAGTTATGACTCTTAGAGAGATAAATGAGATTGATGATGCTTGTCAAAGGGATTCTAGTGAAGAAGAGGAAGTAGATGAGAGTGAGAATGAGATTATTGAGGAAGCTGATAGTGGAGAGATGCTTATGCTCAAGAAGTTGCTTCATACTCAAGTAAACCCTCAAGAGAACCAAAGGGAGAACTTGTTCTATACAAGGTACACTATCAAGGGGAAAGTTTGTTCAATGATCATTGATAGTAGTTGTACCAATGTTGCTTCCACCAAACTAGTGGAGAAATTGGGGCTGCTGGTTGTGGATCATTCTCACCCATACAAGCTACAATAGTTGACAATGGAGACATGGACAAGTAGTCAAGCAAGTAGTGGTACCATTCTCCATTGGGAAGAGCTATTCGGATGAGGTACTTTGTGACGTCATTCCCATGGATGCTTGCAATCTTTTACTTGGAAGACCATGGCAATATGATAGAGAAGTGATCCATGATGGCCACAAGAATACATACTCATTCAAGCTCAACAAGAAGACCATTACCTTTGCACCCTTACCCCCCACCCAAGCCATTATCCAAACTCTCACACAAACAACTTCCCAAACACTTTCCCAAACACCATCCAAGGCACCAACTCGTAAAACCCTTTTCCTAAACAGCACCCAATTAGAAAGAGCCTTCCTAAAACACAAACCTCTCATTGCTCTCCTTATAGCCGAGACAAACCAAGAGAGAGAGCAACCTGAATTTCACCTAAAAGTTCACTATCTCTTGGATGAATTTGCGGATGTTTTTCCTAGTGAGTTACCAAGAGGTTTGCCACCACTTAGGGGAATAGAACACCATATTGATTTGGATCCCGGTGCCCCTCTTCCTAATAGGCCGACATATAGGTGCAATCCCAAAGAATCAAGAGAGCTTCAAAGACAAGTCGAGGAGTTGATTTCCATGGGATTTGTGAGGGAGAGCATGAGCCCTTGTTCAATTCCAGCCTTGCTTGTGCCCAAGAAGGATGGCACTTACCGGATGTGTATTGATAGTCGGGCCATCAATCGGATAACTATCAAATATAGGTATCCCATACAAAAGTTGGATGACATGTTGGATGAGCTTCATGGTGCAACCATCTTCTCAAAAATTGATCTAAGAAGTGGTTACCATCAAATTAGAATGAGAGAGGGAGATAAATGGAAAACAACATTCAAGACTAAGGAAGGATTGTATGAATGGATGGTGATGCCTTTTGGCCTTTCCAATGCACCAAGCACCTTCATGAGGTTAATGAATGAGGTACTCAAGCCTTTCATTGGAAAATTTGTGGTTGTATATTTTGATGATATATTGATATATAGTGCTTGTGAGGATAGTCATGTAGAACACCTTAGCTTAGTGCTTGAATTGTTAAGGCAAAAAAAGTTGTATGCTAAGCTTGAAAAATGTGAGCTATTTATGAGGCAATTGGTGTTCTTGGGTTATGTAGTTTCGGGAGAAGGAATTAAGGTAGAAAAATCCAAGGTAGAATCCATTCATAGTTGGCCTAAACCTGGTTCAATTACGGAGGTTAGGAGTTTTCATGATTTAGCCTCTTTCTACCATAGGTTTGTCCCTAATTTTAGTTCCATTATGGCTCCCATAACTAAATGTTTGAAGAAGGGATCTTTTGAGTGGACTAAGGCAGCAAATGATGCTTTTAATTTGATTAAGAAGAAGTTGTGTGAAGCTCCCATCCTTGCCCTATCGGATTTCAACCAAGTGTCTGAAGTAGAGTGCGATGCAAGTGGTGTTGGCATTGGGGCAGTTTTGAATCAATCCAAGAGGCCAATAGCATACTTTAGTGAGAAGCTTAGTGATTCAAGGAGGAAATATAGCACTTATGATAAGGAGTTTTATGCTCTAGTGAGAGCACTTGACCATTGGAGTCACTACCTTCGGCCGAAACAATTGGTCCTCCATTCGGACCACCAAGCTTTGAGGTTCATCAATGGGCAGCGCAAACTCAACACAAGACATGCTGAATGGGTTGAGTTCATCCAATACTTTTCGTTTGTGCTGAATTACAAGCAAGGAGCACACAATGTTGTAGTTGATGCACTCTCTAGAAGGTATGCCTTACTCTCTTTACTTGATTCTAAAGTTCTAGCTTTTGAATTAATGAAGTTGTGTTATGAGGAAGATTTGGAGATGAAAACATGCATAACTAAATGTGGGAAACCTAGTTTTAAAAATTATAATATGCATGATGGGCACTTGTTCAAGGGTAGAAGATTATGTGTCCCTAAGGGTAATTTTAGGGAACTAATTATGAGGGAAGCACATAGTGGTGGGTTGGCAGGCCATTCCAGGGTTACTAAGACTTTAGAAACCATCAAAGAATATTTTTATTGGCCTAAAATGTTAGGGGATGTTCAAGCTCTCATTAGAAGGTGTGGATCATGTTAAAGAGCTAAGAGTCAATTCAAGGCCAAACTAGGGCTACAAAAAAAAAAAAAAAAAAAAATCGGAAACTGAACCGAACCGAGAAACCGGTCCGAAAAGCAGTTAACCGGTTTTGGTTTCAGTTTCAAAAAATTGCTAAATCGATTTTCCGGTTCGGCTTCCGGTTTATATTATTTCTATAACCAGTTAACCAAAACCGGTTTAATAAACCGGTTTTCCTATAATCCTAATATAATAATATTATTTTAATTTTTAAAAATCTTTATTAGTTTGAATCCCTAACTTCACAGTTTACACATTACACTCATACTCCTTCTCTCAAACTCCAGTAGTCGCCACTGCCCTCTCAAAGACTCAAACTCATCTTCTTCTTCATTACATTTACATATTTACTCGTCTCTCCTCCAGTCCTCCTCCCGTCCTCTCCTCTCAAACTCGTTTGTTTTCTCTATCTTCTTCTTTATGCATGCGCCATGGTGTAACCTTAGCAGCCGGGGAAGTTGTTTTGGCTTTACAGCAACCTTATGCTCTTTCCACAGGTTGGTACTCATTCCTTCCTCTTGAACCTTATTTTAGCTGAATGGAAATGCATTTTGAGCATATATTATCATTTAGAATATAGATTGTACATAGCCAATTGGAGAGGCTTTGATTTGGGGCCCTAAGGTTGAAAGATTGATGCGTGTAATGCACTAGTTGAAGTAGCATGTGGAAAAGAAATGGAGTTGCATTTAAGCTACAGGCTTTTGTAATAAACAGAGAAGAGTAATAGTTTGTCAGGGGTTAGGAGCAAGAGAACGTGCAGTATTTGAAGGGCACATAGATCTGGATCCACTCAAAATTCCTAACTCCCCACACTCTTCTCACTGCCACTCCGACCACTCTTTGTTTTTTCTTTTTATAAATTCAAGAAGAGAGAAGAGAGAGAGAGGTGTAATAAAAGAGTCTAGGGAGGGAGAGATATCTAGCTCTGACTGCCCACTCTTTACTCAGAGCCCAAAATACACAGTAGTGGCAGCTGCAGCAATTGATGGTTCTTCAACTGTAGTTCTACTACCATCTGCAACTTGGTAGCCTTGACAGGAGGTGGTGGTTTCGCTATTATAGTATGTTATGCCTAAAAATTACAAGGGCCGACGTCAGGTTCGTCTAGCCCACGAAAGTCAGATCATTGGAACAATCGCCACATGCGTCCGTCAGGATAGTGGGTGCGCGTCAGGCTAGTCAAGAGCTGTGGTGCTCCCACGTGTCCAATCCCTGCTCTAAATCGCGCAAATCACTCTGGAAGGTGGGCAATGTGACATAAAGAAGGATTTGCACGGATAATCCCACCAACTTACAGATTTAGTGATCATTACCTCAAGGCATCCCATTATAAAATGGGAGCTTCTCTCTCATTAAAGGGGATTGGCATTTTTACGCTTGCTTAATTACTCTCTCTTTCCTAGAATTCTTAGCATTAGATACCTTGTAACATTATTGTAAAGTCAGTCAGCTAAAAGAGACCTGAACTTTATCATTTATATAAGCATCAGTGGACGTAGGACTTGCTACCTTAGCATCCGAACCACTTTAAAAACTGTCCCTATTGCATTTACTATCTCTTTTATCTAGTACATTCATGTGTGTTTTCTGGATCTGCACAGCATTTCACACGTGCGTTTTGTTGGTGCAAAAACACGCATCAACAGTTTGGCGCTAGAAGGAGGGCCTAATTTAGTGTTCATCCTTCATCAGGAGAATCTCCAACTTACCGGTCCTACAGCAACAAATAGCCTGCCAACCAGAGCATGAGCAAACCAACCAGGGCACTGAGGGTCCCCCTCAAGTTCAGGGGGATGCTTCTTCCAAAAAACCTTCAGCCCCGCAAAACACTGTGGGAGATATCCCGTCAAGTTCAGAGCTTGACCCCGCTATAAGAAGCTACCTGGAGAGGTTTGACAATACTCTCTAGAAGGTCAACCAAAGGTTGGACCGTTTGGACCAAGGTGCGCCATCTAAGTTAGCTGCGACGATGCAACTACCAAAAACGCCTGCAGGTCGCATGAAAACGCAGCATAGGAAGATACCCTGTGTCGCGAGCACTGCAGCGCGTAGACAAAAGGGTAAGCAAGTGGCAAAAAGCAAGCCCACAAGCTCCAAAGGGCCAACTAACACCGACCACGTCCCAAGTAGAATACCAGTTTCTTTGAGACTCGGTGAAAAGATGCAGCCCGAGCTATCCCATGCCACATCGCAGGCGCATACCCATAAAAGTGCTAGACGGGGCGATTCTTATCACCGCCAGCAAAGCAATCCTGATCATCATCGTGCGAGAGGGTCCCACACTTCTCGGGGCGGTTCTTACCACCGCGAAGGTCGTGAAAATACCCCACACCCTTCATCGCCATCACAAGCCTCTAGTTAGTGTGTGTCGAGAGTGGCTGGAACCACTGGCCAAGGCGAGAAGGAACCCAACCTCTAGATATTCCTCAATCGTAACCGCGAGAATCGAACTCGCATGGGTGAAAGTAACCCCCAAGCGGCTCTTTTGCCGTAGATTAAGGAGCTGCAGCGAGCTCTTGACAAACTAAGAGCCTAGGAAAATGAGCAGGGGCAGGTCGCATCCGCGTCCCCCTTCTCTCCCGAAGTGTTAGCCGCTCCACTCCTGCCAGGATTTAGGATGCCTGACATGCGGGCGTTTGATGGAAATTCTGATCCGCAGGATCATCTATATGAATTTAACGACCTGATAGAGCTTCACCAGGTCTCAGATTTAGCAAAATGCCGCTGTTTGGCAGTGACGCTGACCTCCCATGCCAAACGATGGCTTAGGTCGCTCCCAGCGGGGTCGATCAGTTCATGGCCTCAGATGAGCACGACGTTCCTAAGGCATTTTCAAGCGAATCGGAAGTTTTCGATGCCTTTGAGCTACCTTAGCAATATAAGGCAAGAAAGGGACGAATCCCTCCAGTCTTACATTGACTGTTTCCACATAGAGCTCAACAAAGTGGCTCATACTCCCGAAGAGTCTGTTCAAACTCTCATCATAGCCGGAGTTCGCCCACAAACCGACCTGTGGAAAGAGTTGCAAGCTGAGGACGATGTCTCCCTCACAGGATTTTACAACCTTGTGGAGAAGTACCTCCGAATAGAAAATTTGTTGGCAGCACTCCATCGTCGTGATGCCGGCGTATCGAGCAATATGTCTGGTCAGGGGGAAATTAGAAGAGCTGATCGCAGAGGGGATGCTGACGATCAGTGAAAAGGGAAGAAACCCTCTACGAGCACAAAAAATCCTATGCTCCTGTTCCTCGTCGCGACAGCGACAGAGTTCAATATACTCCACTAAATGTGTCTGTATCAGCCATTCTTGATAAATCCGAGGAGGCCAGTCTGCTCAGTGAGCCAGAACCCATGAAAACTCATACGACAGCTAGAAATAGCAAAAAATACTATCGCTTCCATCGGGACAATGGGCATCATACCGATGAGTGTCGAGCTCTAAAACAAGCAATTAAAGAGCTCATCAAGAAAGGGCACTTCAAGGAGTATATTGATGACTCCGCTTCCGCAAAAGAGAAGAGCCAAGAGGGGCAAGGGAGAAAGCGTCGTGATCGCAGAGGGTATAGTAGCGTTAACATAATCTTTGGAGGACCGCACCTCGCGGGAAACACGCGGGCTACGCAGGAAAGGTACACTGGCGAAGCTTATCATGACCCGATCAGGGTGATGAACACATTGCAGCGACCACAAAAGGCTCGAAAGGAGGAGCCGATCACCTTCTACGAGAAGGAGGTAGCTCGTTTGCCTCATCCTCATGACGACACCCTTGTGATCACGCCCCTCATAGGGCACTATAACGTCCGCAGAATGCTCATAGACAACAGAAGTGCTGTTAACATTCTGTTCCAGACCACTTTCGAAAGAATGAACTTGGACGAGGCCGACTTGAAGCTCTCCTCGATCCCTCTTTACAGTTTTAAAAGGGACCACTTGATCCCCAAAGGAACGATCCAGCTCCTAGTCACGCTGGGTGACTACGACGAGGTAACTAAGGTTACTGAATTCTTGGTCATGGATTGCCCATCGGCCTTCAATGGAATCCTGGGACGACCTCTATTGAGAAGCTTCAAGGTAGTCACTTCCATATACCATCTCAAGATGAAGTTCCCCATGCCAACGGGGATAGTGGAAGTGAACGGATCGCAAAGCGCATCTCGCGACTACTACATAAAAGCAGTGCAGATGGTATGTAAAGAAAAGGGCATTCCGCGATGTGTGCCCTAGCAGGCTATGGCAATCAGTTGGATCGAGCCACAGCCTGGCCCAGTAGAGGATAATATAGATCCTCGAATTTAGGAAACCCCTTTCAGTGGCCTGGTTGGGGATTTGTCGGAGGTATTGGTCGACCCGAAAGAGCCGAGCCGAGCCGAGTGTTAAGGATTGGGAGCGGTCTCAACCCCCAGCTCGCATCCGAACTAATAAGCTTCTTGATAGAAAACATCGATGTGTTTGCCTGGTTGCACACAGATATGGTTGGGATTAGCCCGGACATCATTTGCCATGCATTAAACATCGACAGCGAAGCTAAGCCAGTTTGCCAGAAAAGAATAGCAATGGATCCGGAGCGGTATGCCACCTTGAAATTAGAAGTGGACAACCTCCTCCAAAATGGGTCCATCCGAGAGGCACTCTACCCAACCTGGGTTGCCAATCCAGTTTTGGTAAAGAAGCCAAATGGCAAGTGGCGAACCTGCATCGACTTCAGTGACCTCAACAAGGCTTGCCTTAAAGACAGCTTCCCTCTGCCAAGAATTAACCAGCTCGTAGATGCCACATCGGGGCATGAGTTGCTAAGTTTCATGGACGCATACTTGGGATACAATCAAATTCTGATATATGGGCCAGACGAGGAGCATACATCCTTCATTACAGACCGGGGGCTGTATTGTTACAAAGTTATGCCTTTCAGCCTCAAGAATGCTGGCGTGACCTACCAGCGGTTGGTCAACCGAATGTTCTCTGACCAGATCAGAAAAATAATAGAGGTATATGTGGATGACATGCTGGTCAAATCCCAGGTCGCCTCAGAGCACATTGCGCATCTCGTTGAGATGTTTGACATCCTCCGGCTATATAGAATGAAACTGAATCCTCTCAAGTGTTCATTCAGAGTATCGTTAGGAAAATTCCTGGGGTACATAGTTAACTAGCGAGGGATAGGAATAAACCCCGAGAAGATTCAAGCTCTACTTGATATGGAGAGCCCGACCAACAAAAAACAGGTCATGTGTCTTAATGGGCGAATAGTGGCACTTATCGAGGTTAACAAACCGCTGCTTACCGTTCTTCAATGTCCTAAAGGCCAACAAGAAGTTCGAGTGGACACCCGAGTGCGAACAAGCTTTCCAAAGTATAAAAGAACACCTTGAGAAACCACCTCTTCTGTCTAAGCCTTTTCCACAAGAAATCTTGCTTCTGTACGTGTCCGTCTCTCAGTTCGCGATCAGTGCAGCTCTGATTCAAGAAGAGGAAAAGGCGCAATGCCCAGTGTACT